TAAATGAAACATAAACATGAACATAACTTATTCGCAAACAAAAGTATCACGTTTACTTTTGTGTTACTCATATAATAATCTACATTTGCTACAGATTAATGTATCTAGGGTTAGGTGCATCACATGCCATATATATACTTTCTGTAATTATTTCAGTGCTCATTATTGATCTTGAAATCTAACTACTTTAATTGATTGCGTCCAATAAATACTAGAACACGTATTTTTAATTTCATATGAAAAAATATTGCACCTATAAAACACGAACTACTGTCTCATTTGAGACAAAAAATATGACACGACTAAACCAGTTGTAATAATTGCTGCAATATGGCGCAAGAAGAATAAAAATATACTCGTGTGCTTAACGGCTGTTTTACACAGACAACTCTGTAAAAAGGCTAAATAGGTTGTCTCAGCATAAAGCAGAAGATGTTTTAAGTCGTAAATCAGGGCCTATTTTATATTATGAAAACCATAATGAGTAGAACATTTAGCAATTATTAGTAGTATATTCTTGACATAATCGTCTTGATGTCAGACTTGGAAAGAAAAATACAAGAACCCACTAATCCTGTTAATAATTCGGGAAGAAAAGACTTAACACAAATAGTTATAAGATAGAATGCATGATCTTTAGCCAAAGAAACATATTATGAGCTACTTATCAGTGATTTCCACATCAATTACTTACCGAAAAGTAAATATCCGGAAAGTATTTTAACAGACACCGCAAAATGAAATACTTGAAACCAAGGCAAAGAGTGTTGAACTGCTGTCCCAATCTTCCTACATGACAATGATTTCTGCGTAATTTCGTCACGGTTGAAAAGGAGATTCGAGGCAACAGAGATAGGCTTCTACAGAAGAATATCATAAACAGAACATGTGAGTAAGTATGAATTTTCATGGGAAATGGAAACAAAAGGGATACTTAAAATCAACAAGCGAGAGTCGAAATTTTTCAGATGCTAAAAAGGAAAGAATATTTGAAGAATTTTATGCCCACTGGATATAGTGAGGTCAAGAGGAGCGGTGGGAAAAAGCATGGTAATGGTATTAGCCGAAAGATTTGGCATTTATTAACCTAAAAGGCTGCTAATTGGAATTTACAAAGACATTCTCTTAAAACATTTTTTCAGAAAATAGTATTCTAATGTCCAGTAGCTATTATCGCTCTTTCTTGCATTGATGGGAGTTTCCTTGCTAACATTTTATTTGAAGTAGTGTGGAATGTGAACATCTTCATTATGTCATTATTTACTTTTCGAGTGGCATATCATAACCATTCTATCTCCTGCTTTTGGAAGTCTTCTTTTATCAGGTAGTGTTTGTAATTTTGTAGTGCCAGACCACAGGTGTGATTTTCACCAAAGACATATATATTTCACTTAATCAAAGCCATTCTTAAACAAAGGTCAAAGAAAACGTTTGCATATAGATGACCGTTTAGAGATTTCCGAAGAATTTTGGCACCATGCATGACATCCATATAAATATCTGGATTCGAGGAGGCAATTTAATAAAATGACATTGTTTTTCAGGTTAATGATTTGATATTGTATAAAATTAACGTAATTACCCGTTGCACTGCCAATCCTATAGCTTAATCTTTCATAAAATGGAAGGCGAAAATTAGACAAAATAAAAATAAAAAAAATTACCAGATAGATGATTTCAAAATTTGAGCATATGTTGAATGACTTCAAGAAAACGATTATATATTCTTGCCAATCTTGTCTAGGAATAAACGCTAGTTGTATAATTATGAAAGAATGACAGAGAAGAATCTTTAGGATGGAATAAAAAAACAAGTTAAATTGGTGAAACATCTCTACAATAAGTGAGTTGTTTATAATAATGGTCTAAACAATGTATGCGACGGTCAAACATGATAAACCACAGAAAATCTGGAAAGATAGACTGAGAACAAACATGAGGTAAAAAAAACATATAATCAGCTTATGTACCAGTGTAATAGTGTTTAAATAATTCAATGTATTATTTCAGCATTTTTTAATTGTTTATAATCGACAGAAACAAAATAAATGCTTATCAAAAAGTAAAAATTATCTATTCCTTAGAAACTGAAATGTCCGTAACAGAAAGATATATTCTAAGCTTTTATCCCAATAATCATTGAAAGCCAGAATTATGCAAAGGTATTATACACCGATACAGATAGATAAGAACATTTAATAGTTGTTATAACGCCTAATAATTAAGGTTACATATCAGCCTCTACAAAGCACACACTATGTTGGACTAAATTAAAATTTTATAATACTACGTATAATAAACATATATATATATATATATATATATATATATATATATATATATATATATATATATATAAAAACAACGACGTTATATATAAGGTTATAAAATTAAATATAGTCTAAGAACTTGAGAGTTTTCATCTTAACCACAATGTAAACATGGGCATAAACATGGTATCAGTCCAAAACGTCCTGTGCAATATATTATTCAACCGTCGTTTTTCATTTTTTATTATCAAAGCTTGCATTATTTTTCATCGGTTTTTACATGTCTAATAAGTCTATTATACGTGTATTTTCTGCTAGTATGTTTCGGATGGAGTTTCTTAGGATTTGGTGTGTGATTAAATGAGTCCTAAATGAGCTATGGTCGGGTAGATGTAACTTGAGTTGACAAGATATGCATGTACTATTATGACCAATGTTATGAGTTTGGTATGATCCTGAACACAGTAGCTTAGGGGGCATTTTAGCTCGTAAAAAAATTTTGGTTCTCTGTATGGTTTTACGGGTGTGTTATTATTTTTTGATGTAGTTAGCTGTTTAAAACATTTTTGTAATAGATACTTAATATTAGTTGACCATGTTCTTTATATTTATAAGAAACTATTCGTTTTTGTCACAAGTATTTGTTTTTTGGAGATGTTAGTGATACTGTTTTTCTCTGTATTTTCAACATTGTTATTTTAGAACGAAATAGTCTCATCTGATTGTTCCTGAGAAATATCATACTGAGCTAGCGTCTGTTTGACATTACTGAGTTATTTAAAGAAAAGAGATCGGGAGGATGAATTCTCGTGTACTCTCGTCAGGTATCTTTTCATAACTACTATTTCATATGTGATTCTCTCTTAGAATTAAGGCGGAAGGTTTTTCTGTCTGTGGATTTCTATATAATAAAATTTGTGAATATGTTATTACTGAATTCTACGGGGACGTCAAAGATTGAAAGTCTATTTTTTCTAAGTGCATAGGTAAAGTGAAAGTGCAGAGTAGTTTTCGAATGGGGTTTTGATATTATCAATTTATTTTTGTTTTTCGCTAAAATAAAGATAACGTATACATAGATGACATGTATTTAAGATTTAGCATTTTTTGTATCTATAAATATCATTCTTTTTGTGTGTCTGCGTGTTTGTCACCTTGTTACCTCATCCTGAACAAACCGTTCGTATGATTGGCATGACAATTCGCACATCGATCTAACATTTACGACATTCGTACATGACGTTATCGGATTTTTCGATTGTTCCTCCGTTTTTGAAAGAATGATAAAACCGATAGGGGGTCGAATATTGATTCGAAAAAAAATCATCAGCTTTTCAGTGATAATTTTCACAAATTACAAGTGTTATCCACCAAACCTACGTTGGACAATGTCCTTACTTATAGTTTTAAGGCGTTGTTCATTGTTTTTAAAAATTGATATCAGTTATAAGAAAAACGATAAAATCGATCACTTTGGGACATCCGATTCAAATCCAATGAACCTGCATTTTGGCTCTGTTTTTCGCAAACTGCGAGAAATTTTCACGAAAATCATATTGAGCATTAGTTTTATCAAGAGGTTTTAGTTGCTTAGCTTTTTCTTCAATATCAGTATCAATTATCGCAAAAAATCGATATCATGCCACATTTGACTTCCAATTCAAATCGAGTCATGCTGATTTTTGGCTATATTTTTCAAAAATGGCGTGAAATTTCCACATAAATTTCGTTGAGCATTGTTTGTATCAACAGTTATAAGATGTTGACATTCATTTTCAATATCGTTATCAATTATTGGAAAAAAAAGATACAATCGATCACTTGGGGACATCCGATTGAAGTCCAGTCTAGCTGATTTTTGACTATATTTTTCGCAAATGGCGAAGAATTTTCAGCAAAATTCAGCTTGAGCATAGTATTGACCGACAGTATTGAGGTGCTGACTTTCGTTTTCAATATCGGTTTAAATTGTCGGACAAAAATCGATGAAATACTACCACTTTTGATTTCCCATTCAAATCGAGTTTACCTGAACATAGCGATGTTTTTCGCAACTTTATCGGCTTTAGTGATGACAATTAAAAAACTTTGCCCTCTGAGCTCCTTTGTGACCAACTAATACCTGAGTGAAGACGATACAATCATGTCTTCATCAAAATTTTCGAATACAACAATCAAATGTATATTCAACGGAAACGTGTACATTACTGACTCTACAGCTGGTTGTTATTGACACACGCGTGACCATTTTCCACATAGCGGTATCTTATTGGCTGTGTGCTGTACGCGGTCGCTGATTGGTGTTCGAGACCATAGGACGTTCGCTGATTGGCCCAACGTATTGGCCAGTAATATTTCGCATTTGAACCTGGGGTGTACATCGCCATCCGGTTTATACGATAAGTTCCTTCAACTGATTTCTCCTACCGCAAGTTGTTTCTTACTTTTTTGTTTTCCGTTTGTCTGTTTAGCTACATTTTTCAACCATAAACAATTTATTCAGCTGTTTTATTTAAATACCTGCCTTTCCGATTCTGGCTCACGCTTTGCGATACTAAGTTAGACTTTGTACTCCTGAAATTGAGTAACCCTTTGTACTCCTGAAATTGAGTAAGCCTAATTAACCACCACTAGCATCACTTTTCCCCATGCCGCCAAAAAGCTGGGTACTACTTAGCCTTCGGTTAGCCAGAGTGTCTGCTATGAGGGCAAGAAGGGCCCACGAGTCCCATGAGCAGACTACAATGCGATTATCACAGGTCGATCAACGCACCGCCCTCGCAGGTTTCGCAGTCACAAGAGGAGCGTGCCAACTGCTTGGCTGGGAAAGCTACATACAGGGCTTCGTTGCGATCAAGGCTTAAGAATGCACAACGTTCGAGAATGTCAAAAGGCATCTTCGTAATGTAATGTAAGCGCTGCTGCCACTGCAAAATAAAAAAGCAATAGAGACACTTCACCGCAGGCGCAACCGTCAACCCAGGGATACAGACCGCTGTGTCTGCTGACAGCGACCGCTGTCTGTGCGAAATCTGCTGAGGTCACACCGCTTCGTAGATCTGTTCACAATGATACGAATGCTGCCACCACTGCAAGGTCGAGGACAGTTGAAACATTCAACCGCAGGCGCGTACGTCAATCCAATGACGCTACTGCAACAGCGAGCGCTAGGTCTGCTGAGACACTGCTACGTAGGACTGTTCGAAATGCTAGGAATGCTGTCACCAATGCAAGGTCGAGGGCAGCTGAAACATTTGTCCGCTGGCGCGCCCGTCAATCCAGCGACGCTGCTGCAACAACTAGGTCGATGGAATCCGAGACAGAACAACAGCAGGCAACCTGCAATTCCCGCAACGCTGCAGTGACTTCTGATGCCGGAAACTCCAAGGGCCTAAAGACAAGGGCAAGAAGAATTTCAACGGCTGCCACAATCATTGCCGCTGTGCGCTTATTTCAAATTCTCCAAGCTCGCCACTTACGCCTCGACGGTGTCATTCAGCGTCGCCCGTTGTATTACCTTCCCAGTAGCTCTTTTTGGTTTTCCTTGGCTTTCAATTACGACCCCGTCATTAACTTAACTGTGTGTGTCGATATCAATGTTGGATACATGAACTGCGTTCGCCAATTCTGCAACGCCCGCATATGGGCTGGGGAGCCTGCCGGGCTGTGCTGCTCCTCCGTTCGATTGCCACATTTGCGAACTGTCCCGTTGAAGGGACTAAAAGCCGGCTTCCATCCCGACTCCATCCACTGTCTTAAAACAGTTAGGGAATACAATTTCTTTGAAATGACCTCATTTGGGGCTCAGCTGTTTCGAGAACAGAGTTGGATGCCCACTTTCAAAGTACAGGGGCAGGTATACCACCGCATTGGATCTCTGCTGCCTGAGGAGACCTCTACACTTAAATTCCTTCAACTGTACTTTATTGCAGACTACAGCCTACAGGCCAAATTTGTATTTTGCCGCCGTCGGGAAGTGTTGCGCACAAGGACGTCATGCTACTACTTCAGACCATGCTTCACGAGGCTAACAGCTACATTCGCAGTTTCAAATATGCTTTGGAAAAGGCTCCGTTTCCTTCCTTCAGCATTGTAATTTAAGCCAAAAAATGGCCCCATGATGAACAGGAACGCCGCTACAATGATCCTGCGTGCAACGAAGTGGTCGCTATTATACATGGGGTGCAAGACTACACTCGCGATATTGTCCTCAAATCAAGAGGCGGCGCTGTTCACAGGATTTCAGAGACCCATCAATCATATGATGCAATGCAGTACCCTTTACTTTTCCCTTATGGTGACGATGGCTACTACTTCGGCATTCTCCTTCATACTCCGGGTGGCCAACCTACAACGCCCTCCAAAGCATTATTGTGCAAGGCCTTCCACTCATACCGGTTCATGGATAGGGATGGAGAATTTAACCTGCTTCATATGTGCAGGTAGCTTTTCCACCAGTTTGCGATTGACATAGACGCTAAGATAGAATCGGAGATGCTTTGTTTTATACGGAATCATCAGAAACAGCTGCGCTCAAACTACACACGTACACTTACGCGACAGCCTTCGAAATGAAATCAATCACCGCGACCGAGGAAAGCTGTGCATTCTGCCATCTACCTACACGGGGGGGGGGGCGTTAAAAGCATGTAGGAACGCAGGACGCTATGACATACGTTAGACAATATGGGCGGCCAGACTTATTTATAACGATTACCTGCAACCCCAAATGGGTTGAGATAACGCATGGATTCCTACCCGTACATGATTACACTCACAGATATGGCATTACAGCCCGCAAATTCCATTTAAAACTGGGAAAACTTATGGACTTAATAATGAAGGGGCAGATTCTCGGGCCTGTTAGATGTGACATGTACACTTTTAAGTTGCAAAAAAGGGGACTACCTCATGTCCACATACTCTTTTGAATTTCTACAAAAATTGACGCCAGTCAAATTGACAGCATCATTTCTGGCGAAATTCCGGATCCGGATGAGCACAGGGACCTATTCGAGGCTTTGAGATTTCACATGGTACATTGCTCCATGCGGTCCAGGCTACGAGGCACGCCTCTGCTGTCAAGGGGTTTCCTAAGACATTTTTTGATCAGACAAAAACCGGTGGTGACGGATACCTTTTGTGCCGACGAACGGCTCCGTCCATGGGTGGGCAAACGATGCATGGTCGGGGGCACCGTATTGACCATAGTTGGGTGTTCCCCTAATATCCCTTCTAAAAATATTCAATGTTCATATGAACGTTGAGCTCTGCAATTACGTTCGCTCCATTAAATACATATGTAAGTACGTTAACAAGGGCAGCGATACCGCTATGTTCAGCGTTAAGGGGGACAATGGCCGACACGAATTTCGCAGTGTTTGGCTGGGCAGCATCAATGAGGCATTCGCCTCCCAATTCACCAGAGGCATCCAGCAATCGTTCATCTGTCAGTGCCCTTAGAGAACGGACAGTGGATTTACTTCACTGAAGGAACTGCGGTAGCTATCGCCGAAAAACCAAAAGACAACTTTAACAGCATTTTTTAAGTTGTGCTGTCAAGACGAGTTCGCTCAAAATTTGCTATATCCACAAGTTCCATCATTTTAAGTCGCAAGAAGTCTGGCCATAGCGTTGTTGTTTGTTGAGTCTACACTATGTCGAAATCAGCAGGAGTTGTCAAGATTCGCACAGTTGAGGGTTCGTGTGCAACACCTACCGGAAAAACGTTTGCTATATTTGCCTTCATTTTGAGTCTCACAGGCAACTAACCTTCGATCCTTATTCACGATCTTAATAGTAAGATGCAAAAATAGCTAAGTACAAAGTTTTCTATGGTTTCACCGGAATTTGTTTGATACTTGCCTTGAAATGGGGAGCTGCGCTAACTGAGTCATCGCCGACATCTATGTCACCACCACGACCAGTCCGAGAGGACGTGCTTCTTCCTCTGGCTTCTGCTTCATGGAGGTTCGTTGTTCCGTCATAGTTTGAGACGAAATATGGCTCACAATCAAGCACTCGTACCGTTAAATAAGTCCCTTCGAGTCATTAGAGACTCCACTGATCTCATGGATGGCTTGGCTCTCCTTCTGTCAAGTGACATTCGACTAACCCTGTCTGTCATTGCCAAAGGGACAAGGCGTCGTGTTGCCAACACCTACCGGGAGGCTTCTAGCACTTAAACGAGGCTCCTCAATATAGGGTATCTCTGAAAGATACTTGCATTAACTCCTGCAGTACATTCCCGGGGACGATTACATCTACAAATCAATCGACAGGACAACCTTACGGACTACACGGTTGAACTTCTGAATTCCTTAGAACTGGCGGGGCTTCCGCCTCACACACTGAGACTGAAAGTGGAAGAATCCATTATGCTTTTTTGAGTAAACTGCTTCCCCCGAAACAGTGAATGGTACACGCATGGTGGTTAAGTCTTTGGCATCAAATTTAATTGAAGCGTCAATTCTTACCGGTTCCGGATGTTGGGATTTTTAGTACCATCGTGTAATAGTGAGCCAGCCAAAATGAGCTGAGTGTTTTTTATAGTTCACCAAAAGAAGGGTTAAACAATCAGAAGGCTCAAAATATTCAATGCGACGTGTAAAAGGCGGCCATGTTTTTCCCGAATATTCACTTCCAGCATTTGATATCGAAGACTGAAGAATTACGGTACAGCTGCTGGTGGTATTAGCGATATAGTCAGATTCAGTAAAATATCTGACTCGTGAGTGTTAAACTTTAACATTGTTTCATTGAACAGATTACGTACTGCACTGTATTCTATATTCATAAACTATGGTAAACATGGTCAACAAAGGTTATGAGCCAAGATTACCACTGTATTTTGACGGAGACGCGTCGAAATACGAATCGTGGGAAGTGAAATTCCTAGCCTATCTTATAATACAAAAAACTTCATGACATCATTCTTTGCGAAGATGACCAGAAAGAAGCTGATGATTTTATGGAATGAAATGCGACCGTGTTCGCCGAATTAATACAATGCCTGGATGACAGGTGTTTGTCTTTAATAATGAGAAGCCAAGGGCGACGGACGTCGATCCCTACGAATATTGCGTGAACATTACAAAAAGTAAGCCTAAAATTATTGCTTTATATACTAAACTAACCGCGTTAAAGAGACGAGAAAATAAATCTGTAACATATATTATACGAGCTGAGAATGTCAGAAATGCCTTAAAAATGGCAGGTGGGACTTCTAATAGCCATGGTTTTTAAGTGAGTTTAAAATTGGGTTACATAGTTATGAAGAAACTGAAAAAATGTGTAATCCCCCAAATCGAGGAAATCGAGGAAATAACGTAATGCAACTGAGAACGTCATTTAAAAAAATCAGAAAACAAGTCCCTCAAAACTAACAGACTAGGAATTATGATATTAAAAACAAGGAGCTTAAAAACAACTATTAAAATAAGAACAACACCACCAACAAAAACAGGAACAATAATAATAAAAAATCAATTATCATCTGCTTTCGTTGTGGAAGAGCCGGTCATGTATGTGCGAAATGTCAATTTCATACAAGGAGTGATTTTTATAAAAATGTAAAAGCTTTTTCGAATAAGCGAAAATAAGCTTTTTCGTTTGGGTTGGATACTATACCCAATAGTAATAATTATTACCTAGTCGACACGGGTGCGACAAAACATGTAATTAAAGATGAAACAAAATTTATTAATTTTGACTCCAAAGTCGAGCCAGATTCCCTATTTATTGAGTTGTCTGGCGGTACCAGAGCTAATAATTTAGTTTTAAATAGAGGCGATGACAGTATTTATTTACGCGTTACTAAAGGAAATACTTGAAAATGTTTATTAAAAAGGGCTTTATATATGTCTAAATTTAAACCAAATATTTTCTCGGTTCAGTCTGCTGTTAGAATTGGTGTTAAAGTTAATTTTCACCGAGACAATTCAAAGCTAATATAACCAGAAGAAACTGAATTTAATATACAACAAAATGGACGTTTGTATTATTTGAAAAGTATTAAGTCTGTAAAAACAGCCACCCACGGCTTAAGGACTTGGCATAAAATATTAGACAACTGTAATAATTCTGATGTTAAAAGATTGCAAGAACACGTTACTGCAATGAAAAATACATTTTCAAAGGGCTTACAACATTGTGATACATGTATTAAAAGGGAAAATGACGAAATATAGAAATAGGGATCAAATCCCCAAATCAACAGACATCTTGTTCAGAGTTTATTGCGAATTATTGGGCCAAATTTCACCAATGGGTATTGACACCTATTCATATGTATTAAATGTTGTTAACGAATATTCAGGACTTATTATGATATATTTTCTAAAAAACAAATCTGATACCCTACAAGCTACAAAAATCTATTGATCCGATATCTCACCTTATGGAAAAGTGAAAATAATTAGAACAGATAATGATGGAGAATTTACTTCTGATGATTATGAAAACCTCCTAATAAATGAAGGCATTAAACATGAGAAAACATGTTCTTATTCCCCGCATCAGAACGGAATCGCTGAACGTAGTTGGCGGAATCTTATCAAAATGGCTAGATGTTTGCTAATAAGATCTATGTTACCCAAAAATCTGTAGGTCTTTGCATTAAATACAGCCCTATGTATTATAACCGTTGCTATAATAGTAACATTAAAAAGATTCCTTACGAGACTTATATGAACTACAAACCCAACGTAAGTGGTATGCATATTTTTAGTACAATTTGCTACACATATGTCAACCACAGGTCAAAACTAGTCCAGCCAATATGCTTTATTTCCTACAAAGTAAAATAATAAGTAAAATCAGATGCGTTAGTTTTACAGATTCCTTTGAGCAAGTGGAGGATCCCGAAGAAAAGAACATTAACTGTGAGGAACTGGTCCAACACGAACTAGTATGGCCTAATTATGGGATAGGGCCTATAAATAGAAAATGCGTTTAAAATCCACAATTAACGGAAGGTGTTTTACCAGATGATACAGACGAGGAAAAATTAGGCGCAAACCTTGAGTTAAAAGAAGATACAACCAAAGAGGAGGGACAAATTTCACGTTATCCGACCAGAAATAGAAGAAAGCCAGACTATTTGTAATGGGTCAGAGTACTATCTGTGACATTTACAGTGGCTATTCGGTGTAATGTATCCCGACGAATTATCAAGAAGACATAAATTTTGAAAATTCCAAACGCCGTCATGCAAAAAGAAATGAAATCCCTAGTATGAAATGATGCTTTTGAATTGAAAAAGACCCCGGATGATAAAAATATTATCGGCAGCCGTTGGGTTTATACTATAAAGCGAACTAAGTTGGCTCGCTTATGTATAAGGCTCGTTTTGTAGCGAAAGAATTTTCGCAGATATACGGGAAGATTATGTAGAAACATTCAGTCCAACAACAAACATGACAACAATCAGAATTTTGATGCAAATGGCAGCACATTATGGAATGAATATACACCATATGGATGTTAAATCAGCGTATTTAAATGCTCCGATTGACTATGAAATATACATAGAACTACCAGAATGTTTTGAAAAAGGTGATAATTATGTATGGAAAATCAAAAAAGTCACTATATGGGCTCAAACAAAGCGAAAGAACGTGGAATAAATTACTACATTCCTATTTAATTGAACAATATTTTGAACCATCCCCAGTTGATCCATACCTGTACACAAGAATATTTAATAATGAAATATTAGCAATTCTGATTATTTGGGTCGACGATATGTCAATTGCTTCAATATATGAAGCTGCACTATTAAAAAATAAAAATTTCTTTAAATACAAGGTTTAAAATAACTGACCTGGGTCGACTATCATGGTTTCTTGGTATACGGTTAGAATTTAAAAACAACACTATTACAATGAATCAATCCAGATACATCGAAAAACTCTTATTTAAATTGAGCATGCAAAATTGTAAAACACGAACTACTCCATGTGAAATGGATTTAAACACAATTATGGATAATGAAGATGGTATAGCGGCGTGTAAAAAGAATACAGAATATTGGTTGGGAGTCTTATTTACGTCATGACGTCTATTATGTCAGACATCTTCTATACGGTTACTAAGTTGTCCCAAAATTTAAATAAACCGGGGACTGTGCATTTAACAAGAGCTAAGCAAGTATTACGTTATCTAAAGGGAACTAAGAATCAGAGCCTAGTATTTCGACAATCAACCCAGTACAACTGGAAGGATTTTGTGATGCTGATCGGGCAAATTCACCAGATCGTAAAAGTATCACAGGCTATTGCTTTAGATTGGCAAAAGATAATCCAATAATTAGCTGGACATCTAAGAATTAGGGAATTATTTCACTTTCAACATGTGAGGCGGAATATGTTGCATTGTCGCAAGCAACACAAGAGGCTATTTTTCTTAAATTACTAATAAAAACAATTACAACACTGATAATAAGTGAGCCTATAACTATTTACTGTGACAATCAGACCAATATTGCTTTGCCTAAAAATGAAATAATACATCAAAATCAAAACATATTGATATTAAATATTAATTTGTTAGGGATCAGGTACAAAAGTAAACAGTACAAATTGAATATGTTCACCCGGAAAAACGTGTCGGATTTGTTTACAAAGCTAATACAAAATTGAAAATGGGGGCGTTCATTCCTGTCATATTTGGGACTATATGGTCCTTATTAGTCCTGGGCAGGACATAAAACTGTATCTAGTATTTAGTTTCGGGGTATAAACGGAAATAATCATACTTTTCTCCCAATTCTCATCTGAATGATTCTCAGGATCACTCTGACTGGAAGTGATAGTGACTGTTTGAATGGATCCCAGTTTTTCCACTTTTTTGTTGTGTTCACAATCCAAATTTATAATATTGTTATTAATGTGTATTAAACTGAAATAATTAACAGTGGACAAATTACATAAGTAATTTTTGTGGATATTAATTAAAACAAATTACAAAAAATAATTAGAAAACAAATAAGATATATTTTATGTATTTGTTCCATATGCATTTTGACTTTGATAATATTTTGAAAAGAGATTCCATAATGTACACAAAATAGGGGATGTTGGCATTTTTGTGTACACTGGTGTACTAGTGAGCTCGCTAAAATGAGCTGACTCATTTTATAGTTCACCAATAGAAGGGTTAACCTGTGACGTCCCGCAGACTTGTT